AGATTTAAGATTATTGGTTTTAGAAATCTAATTGAGAGGTTTATAAAATATCTCCTGTCTAAATATCTATTATTTGTATATATTAATTGGTTAATATTATGATGTTCAAAGTATTGTCTATCCTAATAAGCTTTTTAATAATATCATTTTATTCTAATTTAAATTAAAATTATTCAATTTTAATTTAAGTTGAAAGAGACTATGAGTATGAATATATTATCTTATTCCATAAGCTTCTGTTTTTTGTTGAGCTGTATATTAAGTAAGAATCGTCAATCATAATAAATTGGCCTATTCCTGTTGATATATATGCTAGTATAAAAAGCTTTGGATTAGTTTGATTCTTCTAAAGAGAATATAAAGACTACTTTTAAGTTAAAAAAAGAACTTGGAAATCAGAGTCTCTGATAAAAGTAACTATTTAAGAATCAAGCAATTAAGAAAATATAGGAGTAATTCTAGTAGAAGTTATATTGTAGATTAAGAATTAATTAAATATTATTACATAAATTTAAGAGTTATTTTTATTGTAATAATTGTAGTAAAAGTATGAAGGATTTAGTTGATTAAAATATTTAACATCCTTTACTTCACCATCGACTATATTTTTAAGAGTTGATTGACTATTATCAAATAAAATATATTGGTTTTAATTAATCTATAATATATTTGGTATTATACTATAAGGTAATTATTAATTTTAGTTAAACTCTAAGATAGAGTAATCAAAAACTTTTAAACTCAAATAGTCTGTAACAAATATTTAATTTTTATTAAAGCTGATGTAAATATCAAATATTTGAAGCTAAAATTGGTATTTGCAAATAAAAATATTATCATCGTAATCAAAGATATAAAAAATATTATTTGAGCTTGCAAAAAGTTTTCTCTTATAATGGTCCCAAATCAATATTTTTTAGTAAGCATTTGGGTCATTTTATACCTTATCTAACTATTTTAATATTATGTTAAGAGAAAAATATATAAAAATTGAATTTTTAAAATAACTTTAGTGAAAATAAAAGGATATTTTTATAAAAGTAAAAAAATAATAAATTAAAAAAATTACTTAAAATATTTTAACAACTTAATTGGTATTATAAGAAATAATTTCAATTTAATTTTAATTATCAATTAGCATAACCAGATCAAGAATTTCATCAACAACTATTTAACTTTGATGATTAAATTAATACTATAATTAGATAGTTTACTTAGCCACTTGAGTATTTATGTTATATATTACGATAAAATTACTGTAAGAAGAAAATAGCATAACTTATATTTGATCAGAGAAAAAATAAAACTTTTAGTTAAAAAATAATATATATAAAATTGCTTATACAATTGAAATTTATTTATTTTCATACCTTATACATATTTTCAAAGGTGTTAGTACTAAATGCCGGGAAAGAAGTATCTAACAATTGATATGTATCTAAATTAAGTATTTTAAAACTTGAACTTTATTTATCTCCAATAATAATATTGCTACCATAGTCATTATAATATATAGAATAAGGTAAAAAATTTGTAGAATATTTAATAAACTTGTAAATTTATTCTTTTAAAGAGTACACTCTTAAACTATATTAACTATAAAAGATGATCAACTATTTTTGTCTTTAAATAATAGTCCCATAAATGAAATATTCTGTAAACGGATAATTGTTAGTGATACAATTTAAAGAAATAGCCTTAAAAATGATTTAAGAAAAAATATATTAAAATTTTTATTTTTAAATTTATATATTTACTTACCTCTAAGTTGAATAAGCAATCTTACAAGTTTTGTATAAAAGCCATGTATCCTAATTCTATATCGTATGCAAGATTCATAAATAATTATTAAGACACGTAATTAAACAGCTTTTTAATATTTTTTAAGTCAAATAAGTAAAGAAAGAAAACAAACCTTAAATAAATTTTTACAATTTCAAAATTAGATGAGCTAATTAAAGCAAGACGACGTCCAACAACTATTACCATATATTTTTAATATGGATAATAAAATCCTTTATTATCATATAAATGATAGTACCTGTAATTTTAAGGAGTTAGCTAAACAGGTTGTTAGAAATCAATATTAATTTATGCTATTATCTTTTGGTATTTTATCACTCTTATTTAATTTGAATATATATTTAACTATATATCTAACTCATAAAAATTAACAACATGTTAGTATTGTTAAGTATTTAAAAAATCATTATTTTAATATTCATAACAATATATTTATTTTACATCTACCATTTACTATAGCCATTCATTACTACCAGTTAAAGGAATTTAAATATCGTTAAATTGATATTAATTATAATCATTTTATGATACCTTATGTTAAAAAAAGATTTATTTAGAAGTTAAACTTAATCTTTTATATTAGTTTATTTTACCTGTTATAATTAAAGATTTAGGTCATCTAAACTAATTATAAGAGAGACATTGCTATTTATAAATATTATCTAATTTTATTTATGTAATATGTTCTACAAGCCTTACCCATAGTAGTCGTTTTGAAAGAGTATGATCTAATTTGTATCTCCATCATAGTATTATAAAAAGGCACTATTGCTGAGAATAAATACTTTGTTGCCATAACTAACGAAATGTGCTATGTATGCACCAGTAGGTATTTCCTAGTTTAAAAAAAATATATAACTATTTAAAAATTATTTTATATTGATATGATACATATAAAACCTTATTATCTTGAGTAGAGACAATTTAAAGTGTAGTATAAGGTGTTAAGCTAATTATCTAATAGCTTAAATTTGGAGATAAATAATAAGAAATAATTTGTGTATATTAACTAAATATTTTTTTCTTATAATTGTTTAGAAGGTCCCTACTTATTATTCCTCCGAAATAATCAGAATAATAAATTGTATCTTAGTTTAAATTGAAAAAACCTATCTAACCAAAACATATATTATAAAATTCTGAAGAGATATAAACAGGATTTTACTATTTAAAAAAAAAAATGATTATCAAAATAATTTGAATGAAAGAAATATACATCTTTGTAAGCATTGTAGATCAATATTTATGCAAGATATTTTTAGTAAAAAACTAAGAAACAAATAATATCGCCAGTTTTCTGTGAAACTTAAACATCATTTACTATCTACCTTATTGAGAATTTATAGTTGTATTAGTTGTTTATTTAACTATAATGAAAAATATGAAGCTGTCTTAATTCTGTATAAAGTTAACTTATTACTACATTATATATATAAACTATCAATGTTTTTGTACTCTTGATATAGAACGGTTAATTAAAAAAATATATTTGGTCAGGTGTAATATCTATATCACTAAACTCGTTTTCTAAAAGTATTTCAAAAGTATATAAATTCAATTCTCTTACTGTCAAAACACCATTTCTTATTCCAGTAAGTATTAATTTTTCTTCTTCTTATACAGCTATAAAGTTGTATAACTAATAGCCTTAAAATTCTGTTTGGTCTGGATAATAAAAATCATCCCAAAAATAAAATGATTTAGCAACCTATCTCGATTCTAAATCATATTAGTAAGCAATTCCATTGCTTTTTAATTCTAATATTTAATTATTTGTAACAGTATCTAAAAAATTAACTGCCGGAATATTAAATAATAATTAAGCATAGTAATAAGTATGCTATTCAGATGAGAAATACAATTAACTAGAATTTACAGAGGTTAACTGACTCTAAGTGAGCTCTTAAATTTATATATCTTACATTATTTAAGTTAACAAATATATTTTATCATTATTTTGAAAAACTTCTAAAGAAGTTAATTAGCAAACTAAAGGTTAAGATAATTTAAGAGTGTAAGAAAGGCTAAAACTATTTGAGTTAAGGTTAAAAATGTAAAGCAGATCTTGTTTTTGAGAGAAATAGATATCTTTAGTCTTCCAAAAGCAGTCAGAATTAAAGAAAGTTGATGGTAAAGTGCTCGTGATTTCTGTAACTTATATATTTGAGCTAATTTAGAATACTTAAGTTGCTGTTTAATTTTGACCACCAATAAAAGTCAAAGTCTATATATTTAGATATAAATATTTTATTTTAATATTAAATATAGTATATTTTACTTTATTAGATCTCATTATTGAATATAAAATAGTCTATGGAGTGATAGATTAGATTAGTATAGGAGTTTGACCAAATATTATTTAGTAAAAATCTATTTTATTATTTTGGTAGAACACCCACATATTTTCCATATCTAAATTTTCCATTTAAAGAGTGTACTATGATGAATACTATAAAAGTATATTCTTGTTAAATGATTAATCATAATAAAAAATTGTATTTGTTGAGTTAATAGCAAGTATAAATTGATCATTTTTTTACTAATAATTTTAAACGCTGAGTATTTAATTTAAAATATCTGATGAATTATCAACAACAAAAAATTAATAAGATTGGAAGTCATATTAGACTATAAAACCTGTTTATGTCAAAAAAGTCATTTTCATTCCATCTAAGTAATATACATTACTTATTTATTAATTAAATGTAATATTTTATGATAAAAGTAAGCCACTAGAGATTTAAAAAGTGAAAACTTGGGTATACATATTCATACAAGATAGTGTTTTATTTTGAGTTGATTATTCTACTAGTTGCACACAATTTGCTGTCTATTATTAATTTTTGAAGCTTAAATAGGAAATAAACATAAATAATTTATTTACAGATGCTAGTTATGGAAAAGTATAATAAGCTTAAGGTACAAGCTAAGGAATTGATTTCACAATAACTTTGCCATATACATCAATTTAAAGCATAGTGCTATTATCTTTTTTTTTAATTAAAAAAATTAAAAAAATTTTCAGTATTTGGAGTAATATGTAGAGGTAGGATAGCTATATTAATTTTAAATCTTAATATAGCTAAAACAAAGTTTTTGATTAAATAAATGAGCCTTATTAAAAAAGACACAAGCCACTTTGATAAAAAAAGTAAAATATTTGTATAAAATGATTGCTTATATAATATTATAAAATATTTTAAATTTGAATTATTTTGATTAGATGTTTTAAATGAGCTTTTAATTATTTTTACTTAAAGCAAATAAAGATAAAATTCAGCATTTTAAAAATCTACTTTTTTTAGAAAATTATTAAATTTAATAGCAATCATTCAATTTAGAAATTAATTACCATTATAACTCATTTCAAAATTTAAAAATGCTAATTCATTCTCAATAAAATATCAAATAAGTAAATTGTTTAAAATATAATTAGCTAATAAATGTTATTTATAAATATGGAATAATAGATTCATAACTAACTCAGCGATTTAAACTTTGAATTATCTTAATAAAATGAATAATTAAAAATTAACAAAAACCTCTCATTAAAATACAAAAGAAGCATTGTCTTAAATGTAAAAGAGGAATTTAGATATTTTTAAAAATTGTTTTAATAAGTTTTGTAATGAAGATTCAATCATTTAAAAAATGGAGTATTTTTTTAAAAATTCGCTTAAAATTATGAATACTTTCATGATAACAAGTTTTTTAATAGCTTATTACCTTAATTAAAAAAAATATAAAATTATTTTAAAATATTATAAATAGTATTTCATATAATCATTTAGTAAATTATATTAATAAAGTTAAAATAAATTCAATAAATATAGCAAAATTATATTTTATGAATTTATTTGATCTTATTTATTAATATTGATCGATCAATACTATAAATTTAGAAAAAAGAAAATATAATGAAATTTAATCTATTCATTTAAATTGATTTTGTTATAATTAAGCGATTTTAAAGGAAAAAACATGAAACTAGGGTTTTTTTGTTGATCTTTTTTACTAAATAATTTATTTCCTCTTTCTTATATGAAAAAAAAATTTAGTCTTATTTAGTTTCACTCAATATATTTGTACACCAATTAATTAAACTAAAGAACGATATTTAAATTAAATAAAATAACGAAAAACATAAATTATTTGCCTAAATTATAGTTTTTACCTTCACTGATGGATGTACTATAGAACTATATTTGACCAACTGCTTAAGATTCAGGTATATAAGATAAAGATGGGCAGATTTATAGTTAAATACATGTGTTAGAAGATGAATCTAAGGAATAGCTATTAGATTAAATACTGCATTCATATACGCATTCTCCATCAAGTAAATATTAACTATCTTAACAATTCGCAATGCATCCTTACTGGAATAAAAAAATGCAATGGTTTTTTAATAAAATGGTGATTAAGTTACTTTATTTTATGGATTCAAAGAGTATCCAGGTAAGCATTAATAGCATTCAGTAAATGAGCAGCTTGAGCAAAATTTAGAAGCACAAGAAATGCATTCCATGTTAAAGTTTTCGTATGTTCCACTAGGACAATTTTAGACACAATTATAGCTATTCTGATCAAAATAAAATGGGTATTTACATCCAAGGCACTCAAAGTTTTTATCGCTAGAGCAATCTTAGCATATTTAGTTACACTAACTATCACCATCTTTTTAACCAAAAGAAAGGAAAGTTATATTCAGCATGAAATGGATAATTATCAAAGTCTTCTACTTCATCAACTTTTAAATATTTTTTTGTATTCTTATTTGAAATTTTTAGTTTGTTATCAATATCAATATTCTTGAAAAAAAGCTTTTCCAAAATCAACAAATCAATTTTAAATACAATGAGGAAAATCAACAGCTTTTGAAATTATAACAAAAAGATCACTATTTTATTGATTATTGATTCTGATTTAAAAGATCAAGACGCTCTGTTCTAAATGTTAAAGAATATTATATATATTTAAATAGGTGCTCTTCCCCATTTAAAATTAAAAAGCTTAATCACTAAACATTCTAATTTTTAATATCGCTATTTTTTTAAAAAAGTGATTTTTTTCTTACCTAAAAAATGAGGATTTAGAGTAATTAAAATTCAAAAGGCATCAGATATTAAATACAAATTAGTTAAGTTTAAAGTTTTTTTCCTCAAAAAATATATGAAAATGGAATAATATATTATTATAAAAATTATGCTATAAATAATACTATATATTATGTAAAAAAAGCAAAAAATACTTTACAAATGATTCGTTTACTTATTTTAAGCACACAAATTAATGAAAATTAAGAAATAAGACTCCAAAATATTACCTTTAATGTATATTTAATGTATAGACTTTGAGAGTATTTTGGATTTTTTTTTTAATTCATTTTCTTTGGCTACTTAATAAATAAATTGATTGAAAATCGAATTAACCTTTATCTTTTCTCATAAATTCAAAAAGATATGTAGTTTCTTAGAAAAATGAATGACCTTAAATAAATCTTAATTTACTTAAATTATTTTAGCTTATATTCATTCAAGAAAAACCAATTTTTTATATATTGTAATTATAAGTCTTTATAATAAATCTTATGTGAAATTATATTATCAAATACAAAAGAATATAGTCAGTCAATAATAAAATAATATTTTTAAAAATTAATATACCAAAATAGAGTAAAAAAAATAAATTAATTTTATAATTATTTTTAATTTTTATTCAAATTTTAATATGTAAAATATTTATAACAAAAGCTATTTTAAATGAAGTACTAAAGGTTATATATTTAGAAATTATTTTATTCAAAATAGAAATATTAAAAACGCTTGCTAAAAATTATTGATTTTAAAAAATAAATAGAAATTTAAATTATTAATTAATATTTTTTAAAAATCATTCATTAATCCTTACTCATTTTTTCGAAAATTATTTGAAAGTAATAAAAAACTAAAATTTCGAAAATTAAAAACAATTATAAATAACAATTAGTATTTATCTTTTTTAGTGAATCTGTGCTAATTTTTTTTATCCTTGTTTTAGGTACATGAAATACCATTGTCATAAATGGCCTCTTTAGTATATTTCGTTAGGTATATTTATCTTTTCTATCTTTAAGTAGTATTTTTTAAAGCGATTTATTATTAGATGCTAGATTAATTCATAACTTTATAAGTTAGATACTGCACAATTATTTTTTTACTTCATTAAATTTAATATTCCTTATTATATTTAATTTAGGGGGAGGGTATTATTTTTTTAAAAAAAGTGATTTTTTTATGAGCTGAATTAATGAGGATTTAGAGTTATTAGAATTCAATAGATATCAAATATTATATTCAAATTAGCTAAATTTAAATATTTTTCTTCAAGAGATAATAAGAATAATATAATATAAATTTACAAAAATGATGTTTTATTATATTTTAGTAAACAAAGCAAAAAATACTTTAAAATTAATTTATTTACTTTATTTTAAGCACAATAATTTAAAGCAAATTAAGAAATATGCCTCAAAAATTGTACCTTTCATGTATAGATTTGGTGAGTATTTCGGTTTATATTTATATTAGTAAACAACCATAAAATAGTTCTTAAAGTTATCAAATTTTATAATAAATAAATTATTTTATTATTACCTAAAATGATAATATCTATATATCAGAATTTTTTAAAAATATATTTTCTTGCATTTTTTAAATCTCATTTTCACTGGTTAATTTATAGATAATTAATTGATTGAAGACCTAATTAGCCAGCTAGCCTTGTATGTTTCCTCAAAAAAATTTAAAAAAACACGTAGTTTCAAATAACATTTAATGTGCATAATTGAAACTTAATTTACTTAAAGTATTTTTAGTATATTTTCGCTCAAAAAAACAAAGATTAAATTACAAAAATTTAAAAAGCGTAGTTATTACAATTTCAAAAATAAATAATTTTTTTACAGTGTCTTCATGATAGAACATTTTTTTTTAGATAGCTTGCTTATTACCTTAATTTAAAATAAACCAAAAATCATTTTTAAGTATTATAAATAGTATTTCATATAATTAATTGTAAGTTATATTGATAAAATTAAAATAAATTTAACATTTAGTATTTTATGAATTTGATCTTTAACTATGAATAAATATATCTGTTCATTTAAAAATTTATTTTTTTATAATTTACTGATTTTAAAGGAAAAAACATTCATTCTATAATTATTTTGTTGATCTTTAAATACAAATTTATTTTCCTTTTCTTTCATGAAAACAAATTGATTAACATTTTAAATTTCATTTTGATTAATTGTTAATTCACTTAAGTAAATTATCTAAGGGTTATTTAAATTAAAAAAAAGCAACAAAAACGTAAATTATATGCCTAAATTATAGTTTATATCTTTATTGATGGAAATACTAGAGAATTATATTTGACCAACCTCTTAAGTTGCAAGAATATTAGAAAAAAGTTGTGTTAAAAAATGGATCTAAAAAACATCTATTATTCTAAATGCTGGATTGATACATGCTCTCTCCATCAAGCAAATATTATCTATTTTAACAATTCGCAATGCATCCTTATTGGAGAAAAAAAAGATGTAATGATATTAAAAAAATTAAATGACTAAGTTACTTTATCCTGTAATTTCACTGAGTATCCAGGTTAGCATTAATAACATTCAGTAAATGAGTTACTTGAGCAAAATTTATAAGCACAAGAAACTCATTTTATATTTTAGTTTTTATATATTCTACTAGGACAAAATCAGATGCAAGTATGGCTATCCTGATCAAAATAAAATGGATATTGAATTCCAAGGTACTCAAAATTTTTTATCTCTAGAGAAATTTTAGCTGACAAGGCTAAATTAACGAGAACCATATATTTGACCAAAAAATATGAAAGCTATATTTAGTATTAAAAAGATTATTATCAAAATCTTCAATTTCATTAACTTTTAAATATTATTTGGCGTATTTGTTTGTAATTTTTAGCTTGTTAGCAACATTGTTAATAAATAACCTTTTCCAAAATAGAAAAATCAATTATATATACAATGAGAAAAATCAACCGCTTTTAAAATTATTATAATCAGTTTATTATTTTACTGATTACGTATTTTAAAAATCTAGCTAGATGTTCTAATTTATGTGTTAAAAAATAACTTTTTAAAAATTTTTGAGAAGAAAAAAGCATTTAAAAATACAGATTGTAAAATTTATTGTTAGAAATTAATTGAATTCCTTTCATTTCATAAATAATTCAATTAATTTATGATATCATCAACTATTAATAACTTAAAGGAATATTAATTAATTTTTTTATTTATAAGTCATTAGTAATGTTTTAAGTTTGTAAAGACATATAAAAAAATATACGTTGGGTCTTCTACTAAAGATAGGAAAAAAAAAAAAGTTTTACTAATAAAAGTTATTTTAACAAGTATTTTGGAAAAAAATTCAATTTATTTTTACTGAGCTTAATTAATGAGGATTTGGAGTTATTAGAATTCAAAACATATCAAAGATTATATAAAACTTAGCTTAATTTAAAAATTTTTTCTTAAAAAAAAAATAAGAATGAAATGAAATAATTTTTATTTACAAAAATTACTCTCTAAAAAATTCTGTTTTTTTAAGTTATATTGATAAAATTAAAATAAATTCAATAAATAGCTAAATTCTATTTTATGCATTTGATCTTTATATATGAATATGATCTTATAAATTTAGAAGAAGAAAAAATATATATAATGCTATTTAATGTTTTAATTTCAATTTATTTTGCTATTATTAACTGATTTTTAAAGGAAAAGCATTGATTATATATAGCTTTTTTGTTGATTTTTTACTAAATTTTTTTTCCCTCTTTCTTTTATGAAAAAACTTAATTAACAAACATTATTAATTTCATTTTGATTATATCTTAAAACATTTAAGCAATTTATTGAATGGTTAGTTTAATTTAAAAAACAATAAAAAACATAAATTATATGTCTAAATTATAATTTTTATCTTCGCTGATGAATATGCTAAAGAATGATATTTGACCAACCACTTAAGTTGAGGGAATATAAGATAATAAAGGGCAGATTTATAGCTAAGATAGATCTAAAAAATAACTCTTACATTACATGTTAGATTCATATACACTCTCTTCATGATAAAAATGTTAATCATCTTAACAATTCTCAATGCATCCTTACTGGAGTAAAAAATGTAATGATATTAAGAAAAATAAATAAATAATTAAATTACTTTATCCTGTGGGTTCACTGAGTATCCAGGTTAGCATTAATATTCTTCAGTAGAAAAGTAGCTTAAGCAAAATTTATAAGCGAAGGCATTCCATATTTTAGTTTACATATGTTCTACTAGGACAAAATTAAATGCAATTATAGTTATTCTGATAAATATAAAATGGGTATTTGCAACCAAGACAATCAAAACTTTAATTAAATATCTTAAGAGACTTGATTATATTAAGAAACATCATACTTTTGTCCAAAAAAAAAGGAAAGTTATATTTAGTATTAAATGGATAAATCATCAATGTCTTCAATTTCATTAATTTTTAAGTATTATTTTGTGTATTTGTTTGTAATTTTTAGTTTGTAAGCAGCATTCTTAATAAATAAGCCTTGTCAAAATAAAGAAATCAATTTTAAATACAATGAGAAAAATCAACAGATTTTTAAATTATTTTTATTTTACTTTTAACATATTTAAAAAAAAGAAAAAAATTTTTTAAATTAATTAAAATTTAATCAATAGGAAATACTTATTAGACTAAAATTTTATTTTTTAACTATAACTTGTAAATTAGTTTTATAACACAAATTTTAGAAAAAATTAGCAAATGTTTATTGCAAAAGAAATAAAATTAGCAAAAATAAAAAAGGAAATAGCTGCAAAGGGTTTTTAATTAAAATTTTTCATCTTTATCAAAATTTGCAAAATCTATGACCCTTTCGACTCAATATGCTAATATTATTATTAATAATATTTAATATACAATAGAATGATGCGATAGGAATATTGTAAGTTAAATATTATTTTATAGCTCAAATAAAATTATAAATATAAATTCTATAAATAAAAATTCATACCTAAAAATAAAAATTAAAATAGAGTTTCCAACTTTTAAAACAAAATTGTTACATTTATTATAATTAAAAATAATGAAGCTTGGAATTTCTGAAAATGGTACAGTATTTTTAACTAAATTTCGTCTTACAAAGTAATTAATTCTTATATTAGATAAAAATCATTTAAATAATTTGTTTATGTTTCCCTCAAATATCTATCATTTGGTCTATTACTAATATTTTACATTTTAGTAAAGTGTAGATGTAAACTCAAAATTTGAAGTATCTCAAATAAAGTAAAAAGTTTTTAATAATGAATAGATAAAATAAGCATGAACACAATTTATTATTTATTTACCTGAATTTATTTTTTATTTTGTCAGAATTACTTCTTTTCATAAATTTATCATATTCTTCTTTAATAGATTATTGAATAGAAAATAATTAAGTATAACTAGTACCAAAATATTACAAACAATCTTAACATAAATAAGAAAATCTCCATTTTTTCAAATTTATATGGTAATACTATATCAAAATTCAATGAAATCCCGACAAAATTCATCTCTTATTATATCACTCTTCTCAAAGGCTTTGTATTCTAAAATCTTAAAGTAAATTAGTGAAGAATTTTTAATTCAATTTATATATTTTATTTAATTATTATATGGCAAATATTGATTAAATATATTAGAGATAGATTTTATAAAATTAAGATAAAACAATATAATACTTAGAAGTTTGTTTATTTGTTTGTGTAAAACATGCTTTTGTAAATTAAGGATATGAAAGATTTATAAAACTTTACATTTCTAGTAAATTAAATAATGAGAGAATTTATGTTAGAAAGCATAATTTTGTATTTAGTTTTTTCTTACAGTTTACATTCATATTAACTTAGAAAAAGGATATTTTTAATCGATTAATTAAATATTTAGATGGATTAAAACAAGATTTTTAAATGTATCAGAAAAAAAGATTGTTTAATATTTCAAATTACAAACATTCAAGTATTTTTCTACCAAATTTTTTTTTATCCTCACACTTTTTCAATCTAAAAATTAAAAATTAATGAAAATTTAAATTAATGAACTAATAAATAAGCTAAATAAGCTAGCTAATCTTTTTTGATTAGAAATAGAAAGTATTTTCTAAGAATAAAAAACATGGCTAAGAGCCATTAAATTAAAAATTTATTTAATCAGATTTTAAAAATATTGAAAATTTATATTACTCCCAAATAAATATAAAAATATTAAAATTTAAAATGAAAAGATAATTAATTTATTTTTTATTTTAGCAATATTCAAATAAGATTAATTTAGGATTTGTCAATAAATTAAAAATTATTGGTTATACTAAGAAAGATTGATTCGTAGATAAATTAATTGATGATTTAAATTAATTTTATATGTCATTTAAATTAGTGATATTGCCACCATTATTTTTAATAATATAAATAAAAAACTAAATTTAAAAATAAATAATTATATAATGATATCCCTTTTACATTTAATCTTTGGAGTTTTGCTAATTCCAATAATTTTAATTATTTACAAAGTTATCCTATATCCATTGACAAGATTGCTATACTTGAAGTATGTACATTTAGATAAAGTCAGAATTTTCTACACCTATGGTTAAGGATTCTTTCCTCAATTTAAAAAAAATCTTCTTGAAAAAAAGGATAGTTTAGCTTTCGTGAGAGAAATGTACTCAAAAAAACTTTAAACAGCTCTTTTCAGCATAGGAACTAAAGTTGGATTTATCTTTTTGGATCCTGAGCTTATTAAGTAGGTACACTAAAATGCAGATGCTTTCAAAAAAAATGATGGAAGTTTGGCAATTACTTACTTATTTAGCAACTCTCTATTATTCGTGAAAGGAAAGGAATGGTAAAGACAGAGACAGTTTTTGGCAAAATCTTTTAACTTTTAAGATATTAAGAACTATTTACCCATATTTAAAGATGTTTCATCTAAAATATTTGGTCTGATCAGAAATAATTTAGAGATTTCTGGTACACAAGAAATTGAAATAGTAAAGACTTGTGAAAAGGTGACATCAGAAGCTGTTTTTAGAGTTTTCTTTGGTCAAACCTCTTAGAATTTGATGGTTACTAGCAAAGATGGAAGTAGCACTCTTTTAGCTCATGAACTGGTTGCTGTAGTAGTTGACTCTTTTCACATGCTCCTTCATGATAAACTCCTTTTGATTAAATTTACAATGCTTGGAAAAAACAGTATTAATATCTTGCCAACATAAAGCGAATTAAAGTTGTTAAATCGCTTGAAAGAAGTGAAGAGAGTATGTCTAGAAATAGTTGAAAAAAGAAGAAACGAACTTTTAAAAGATTAAAGTTAGTTCAAAAATAATTTCTTGGATTAATATTTAAAAGAAACATTGATTAACCAAAACAAATTAATCACCGATGAAGAAATTATTGAGAATTTTATAGGACTCTTCTTTGCTGGAACTGATACAACTGGAAACATGACTGGAGTTGCTTTGTACTACTTATCACTCTATCCTGAGATTCAGTAAAAAGCAAGAGAAGAAATTTAGAAAGTTCTTTCCTCAAAATGTAACTCAAATGAAAACCTTGATGAACTATTCAACTCTTTGACATTTGAAGATCTTCAGTAATTAGATTTGATAAACTCAATTCTTAAAGAATCTTTAAGATTGATACCACCTGCTCCCTCTGTTTTCCCAAGAATAGCCGAAAGAGACATCAAAATTGGTGATTTCTAACTCAAAAAAGGGGATTTTGTAAATACCTATTTCATTTACAATTTCTACAATCCTGATTAATTTAGTAACCCAGAAGTCTTCGACCCATACAGGTGGATGAACCAAAATGAGTAAACTTTTTTATTTTAATTTTTTTGATTTAAGATCTATTTTAATTAAAAGGTCATAAAATGTATTTAACTTCACGCCTTTCTCCTTAGGCCCAAGAAATTGTATAGGTCAGCATTTTGGTATGATAGAAGGAAAATGCATGCTTATCTATGCTTTGCTTAATTTTGACATACTACCAAACAAAAATTAAGAAGTAAAAAAAATAATGGGAACAATCTACGGATTTGAAAAGGATAACCTAGTTTATTTTAAAAAGAGAAACATAAATAATTGAATAAATTAAAAAAAAAAGATTTATATAAGTGCTATTTATTCTTTACATATTTTTTACATTTTCTTTAATTACATTAAAAAATCTTGAATAGAAATTAAATTTTTTTTAAGTTAAATAGAAAATTTTATAAAACTTTACTTATGATATATTGCTTATAGAACAATTATCTTAATTTACATTTTTTATGTGATTTAATTAATGCAGATACTTTTCTGCTAATTTAATGGTTACACTAAAATATCAAATGATTTTTTATAGTAGATTTTGACTTTAAGAAAAATATATTTTTTAGAAATTTCTAATTTTATTCATGATTTATTGATGTACTTTTATTATCTTTAATAAGTAAATAATAGATTTTATTTTTATTTTTATATTAATAAACGCGCTATTTTTGCGAGACTAGCTTTCTTTACATTATGTAAAGACTTTTGAAAAGTTTCTAAAAGAAAATAATATCATCGAGTGAATTAGTGAGCTTAAATAAAACTCTGTATAAGCAGAAATTTATTATATTGAAAAAATTTGGATAAAATTAAAATGATACATAAATTTATAAATCTTATGTAATGTACATAATTTAATTTAAAAACTTTTAGGTTATTATCTTCTAATTTAAGTAAGAAAATCTTAATATTGCTTAAAAGTAGAAATAATTTTAATTATTTTTATTTTTTAAATAAAATTTTTAAATTTTTTAATCTAATCTTTGTGTCTGTCTTTAAATTTAAGAATATAAAATAAGTATAATACATTTAATATTTAATAAATTAATTATTAATTAATTAAAATTCAATTTATTTTGGATTTTTCTTTTATGGTTAGTTGTAAATAGCTAGGAAAAACTATTGCTAAATTTAAATCAAATAAATTAAAAAGAAAAAACTGAAATTGAATTGCAAATAAATCAATATAAGGAATAAATTTGCAAGAAAATTATTAAGCATGAGTGAATAACTAACTCTAAATAAAGATATTAAGACTTCAATAAAATTGATATATATATTTTCAATATAAAAATTAAATTAGAAAGAACATTCATTATTGATTGATAGTAAAAAATTTAATTAATTATCAATCCTCTTCAAGTAAATAAAGACAATTAAAGATAAAAACCATAGTAAATATTGAATAAAAATAGAAAGAAGTAGTAAATCTAATTATATTATTAAAAATATTTTATTTAAATATAACTTAAAAATTTATTAGCTATTTACTAAAAATCTAACCAAATATCATTATAAATAGATTATTGATAGTTTTAAAATTAACCAGAGCTAATAAATATAACTTATCAATTTAGAAGCTGACTAAAATATAGATAAAATATCTTAAATTTTAAAGGTAAACATTTTTAATAGTAATTATTAGCTGAATTTTTCATATTTTAAGATTTCATTAAAAAAATGAATATAATTTGTTTTAGAACCTAATAGGGTATATTAGAAGTTATAGTATTTGGGATATAATTGACTTTATTAATTTGTTTTTTATTAATGCAAAAAACAAAAAAATATTAGACAGAATTTTAATGATAATATTAAATAAAAATGGGTGATAAAAATCAAAATATTTAAAAATTCTCAACTATTGAGGAGATGATTAAAGTAAATGAAGAAGAGGCCTTTCTTACTCAAAAAATTGTTTTATAGAGTAAAGAAACTTAGTAGGAGAAGGTAGATTTTTCAATATTTTGCAGTTAAATATCTAAGTTTTAAAACCTAAAAAAACTGAACTTAACTTATTGTGATAATTTGAGCTTAAAAGAAGTTAGCGGATTAAATGAATTGCTAATTTAAATTAAAGACCTTACTTCAATTAAACTTTTATTTCGATTTTCTTGTCAAATTGAAAACTAATCGCTTTTGCATATATTTTAAAGTATTCAAAGCTAAACAAATCTTGAAAAGCTTTGTTTAGATTTTTATGATAATAAAAATTTATGTGATGATCATATCTTTTTATTATCTGAGGTAATTTCTAAAAATTAAAATCTCAAGAAGATAGATATTGAATTAGGATGGAATTAATATATTTCTCAATAGAGCATCAATTTTATCTCTAGTTGTCTGCTAGATAAACAAAGTTTAAAATATTTAAGTCTATCCTTTCATTATTTAAAAAAAATAGAGAGCATAAATAATCTAAATTAATCTCTTTTTAATCTTGTAAATTTATAGAATTTTAGTTTAACTTTAGGAGGTTGTTCAAAACTTAATAATAATGAAATTAATTAACTTTTTTTATTAATTCAAAACATGAAGCAATTACAAGAGCTATATTTAGATGTATATTGTTGCCATATAAGTGATGAATTAGTAAATATTTTGGGAGATTCTCTACAAAAATGCTAGTGTATTAAAAAATTAAATTTAAATTTAGGTAGTAATAGTTAAATCATAAATATCTAATCGTTAGGAATGGTGATTCATTTATCTTAGTTGATTGAATTGCAATTTAATTTAAATAACTGTTTCAATTTATCATAAGGACCATTTGGGTGTTGTAGCCAAAATATCATTAACATTGAAAAGTTTAGTGTTAATTTGGATTAATGTAAATCAGTTGCAATAAATAGTCTAAAATAATTTACTTCAGATTTGAAATTTCTAGTCAATTTGAAAGAATTAAATGTAAATTTAAATAAATGTTATGAGATAGATTAAAATTTTTACGACTAGCTTAGCTTATCGATACATAATTTAAAATATTTAGTTGTTGTAAGACTTACAGATTTATACAAAATTGAAGAAAATAGTTTTTAAAAATTGATAGAGTCCTTAAAAAGCATACAAACATTAAGATAAGTAGAAATACTGCTGAATGAGAAGAAAACTCATTATGATTAGACTCCATATTTAATTAGATAAGCTAGCAATTAATTAAGAAAATTTAAATATTTAATAAGCTTATCCTGTTATTGATTTCTCTTTAAAAATTTATGTAAAATTTATAGAGTATTTAAATAAAATATAGGTTTTTTTATTATTGATTTATTTCTCTTTGATTTTAAATTTTATAATTCTTATAAATTCTAATTTAATCAAATAAATTGTCATTAAATTTGTTGTTGGTCATACTAAGGTTTTCGAAAACACCAGATCCCATTCTAACTCCGAAGTTAAGCGCCTTAAGGCTGGGTTAGTACTAAGGTGGGGGACCGCTTGGGAAGTCTTAGTGTTGATAAATTTTTTTATATAACTAATTAAATCTACTTTAAAATTTAAATTTAAAAAAAATCTATTAATTTTAATAAATAATTTCATTTGAAAAATAAATAATGAAATATTAATAGTTATTATTTGCTATTAGTATTGTTGTCGGCCATACTAAGTTGAAAACACCGGATCCCATTCGAACTCCGAAGTTAAGCGCCTTAAGGCTGGGTTAGTACTAAGGTGGGGGACCGCTTGGGAAGTCCCAGTGCCGACAACCGGGGGAGGGGTCGCAGGTGGGACTCCACTCATATAAAAAAATGGTAGGGAGCCTAAAGGCTTC